GTAAGGAGTAGGGAGCTTGCAGAGAGGTGTGAGAATTAAGATGCTATTTAAGGCAGTCACTTGGAAGGGAGAGTAGGCACATTCCACATAGCCCATGAGGCAGGGCCAGGGAGCAATCCATGGGAGTAAATTACAGGAGGGCTGAACTTCTCCACTGTTAGACCTGCGCAATGATGGAGCTTTGCCTACAATGAGCACCTGCCTGGTCCCGGACATGTTTAAGCGGAGCTGGGAGCTTACCGTTGGCTGGAGGTTGGACTGAATGTCTTCTTGGATCACTTTCAGCTCTAAAAGTCAAATTTGGTGGAGAGAGCTCAGGCAGTGATGGGTGTGTGAGTGTAAAGCCAGAGACAAACTTCTTGGCTGGGAATCCCATCATGATCCTGGGAGGCATATCTCCTGGGGACTCTGTGGCAACTATTTCTTAGACCGAGCTGGATGAGGAGTTGTCTGTACTTCTGTTATATGTAGTTGCCCCTCCAGCTAGTTCAGTGATGGCGAACCTATGACACGCGTGTCAGGTTGTCTGTACTTCTGTTATATGTAGTTGCCCTTCCAGCTACTTCAGTGATGGCGAACCTATGACACGCGAACTCATTTTTTTTGGTTGATTTTTCTTTGTTAAATGGCATTTAAATATATAAAATAAATATCAAAAATATAAATCTTTGTTTTACTATGGTTGCAAATATCAAAAAATTTCTATATGTGACACGGCATCAGAGTTAAGTTAGGGTTTTTCAAAATGCTGACACGCCGAGCTCAAAAGGTTCGCCATCACTGAACTTGCTTCTCTTCATATCTCCAATAGGAATACATATCACACTGTGGGAACAAAGACTTGTCAAACCAGACAAGGTCTTTCCATCGCGGGAGGTGAACCAACAGTAACCACATGTTGCTGATGCGAAATGGCTGGTACAAAGGGGTTTCTGTCTGTGTAATATATGTCAACTCATCTTTGTGCGGTTTTTAATTTTGGGAAATGGACTCCGTTTCTTTATAGCAATTAGTAAAATTTAATTTGCCTCCCCAAGTTTCAAATAAATGTAGTATATTTTGCACTTTTTCTTGTGTTCATGTAATAGACATAATCAGGTTTGTCATCACAGCAGACATACTATTTAGAAAAAGAGTTGTCTTAGAGACCACCTTGTCCAACACTCTTGCTTCAAAATGGAGACTGAAGTCCAGAAATGCTATGGAACTTTCCCAATGTCAGGATAGGCCTGCTGCTGCCACACTGGGGTACAGTTTAATGAGAACCAGCTCAGATTCTTGGAACCAGGTACAGTATATCACTCAAGAACCTGCCTCGTGAAAGGCAGAATGAAAGCTCTCGGGGCCTAAAAAGTCCTTTTTGCCAGGGGATACCATTTTGGAACAGAGAGAGACCCCTTTCTTATGATTAAGTTGTGTCTTCCACTGGCTACAGCTGGAGGAAATTGTAGGCTGCCGCAGGAGTCACCTGGAGGTGGGAGTGTCCAGCCATCACACCCAGGGCTTAGTCCCAGTTTCTAGTCTGTGGATCTGAAACAACCTTGAGATTGTGGGAGGATAACCCAAGGGGCTTTTTACCTTGTCATGGTGTCCTCCTTGGTGGGCAAGGTGAACGGTTGTTTTCGCTGGAATGCCTAAGATCAATGTTTCTTCCCTTTAGAAGAAGTTACTCTCTTTTCTGTTTACATGTTTAGATTCTCTACTGCAGTACCCACACTGTTTAGAAGATTTACCTGCGCAGAATCTTGCTGTTCTTTCTCCCATGGTTCCCTCCAGTGTTGATACCGCCTGCTTAGGAACTGGATATTCGTTAGCTCTAGAGAAACCCCCAGGTCCTTTTCGGCATTTCCACTCTTACACATGCTGCTCCTGGGAGGAGTGGGGGGGGGTGACATTTCTCTGTTGTCACCCTAGCAGTAGTCGGCAAACTGCGGCTCGCGAGCCACATGTGGCTCTTTGGCCCCTCGAGTGTGGCTCTTCCACAAAATACCACGTGCGGGCGCGCACGTACAGTGCGATTGAAACTTCGTGGCCCATGCGCAGAAGTCGGTATTGTGTGGAAGAGCCACACTCAAGGGGCCAAAGAGCCGCATGTGGCTCGCGAGCCGCAGTTTGCCGAC